AAGCCTTTGAAATATCTTAACCACCATTAATTAGACCCCCACTTGAATTTTTTTTTTTTCACTTAACATAATGTATAACTTCCTGGGCTATTACTATATTATCATGAATTTGCCTTCCTCGAGCAAAGGTTGACTAATAAGGTGATATACACTTTTGCAACAAATGTTTTAGTCAGTTAGCAAATATTTTGGATATTATTTTTACAAAACATTACATAAACTAATTATTAATCCTCCCTACAAATCTTTTATTTTGAAAAAAAAAATTCACAAACAAACTCATAAATATTATCCTCCATGATATCGTAAAAAGTCTGATAAACCACTATAGGTATGTCATCTGGTCCAGGAGCTTTAAGAGCTCCTAATGATTAAACCACTTGTTAAACCTCTTCCCTAGTTGGCATCCCAACTAACAATTCATTCTTAGCTTCAGTTGTGACCTTTTCAAAAAAGTGGGGGAAGCTTTGATTAGCCTCGGATCTCTTGCTAGTAAATAAATATGAGTAAGACTTAAGAAATTGACTAGCAATTTAATAATGATCAATACACCACTGATCCTCCTCATCCTTTGATGATTTGATCCAAGAAATAGCATTTGTTTGCCTTCTAAAAAGTGTTGACTAATGGGAAAACCTAGTATTTCTATCGCCCTCCAAAAGGATTCATGTTAGTCTAACACTTTTTCTCGTATTTGAACTAGAGTCTTTAAAATCCACTCTTCTTTTGCCAGTAAATTGACACAACTTCATTAATAACTCATTAATCCTATCCACCTTCAAATTAAAATCACCAAAACGTTCTTTATTCCGTTTCTTATGGGAAATTTTGATTAAATCCAACTTTGAGGTCACCTTGAAGCTTGCGAAACCCCGAATTTCCTTATTCCATTCATTTTTAAACAAACTCAAACATTCCTAAAGTCAAGCTTCAAAAAACCCAAAATGTTTAGGCCTATTCTTTTGACAGCTTGAATTCAAAAGAAAGACTAGAGGTTTATGATTGGAGCCCCATCTAGTGTAAATATAAGCCTCAATTGATTTAAGCAGTAACCAACAATTGACTGACACATATATTCGATCTAGTTTCTTAAATTCCCTTGCAAGACCTACTTGCTCATTAAACCAAGTTAAGTTCCCACCTTTCAAATTAATCTTAGAGAGAGTGAAATAAAAGACATTTTCAAATTTTCCCCTAGACTAGTTTATTTTTTGGTATTCCTAGACTAGTTAAGTTTAATAGGCTCTAGATACTCCTCCCACTGGGCACCAAAATCTATATTAAATTCCCCAATGCAAACCACAGGAGATTCATGATCACACATATCAGCTATAGTCTCCTTCAACTCCATCCAGAACTTCAATTTGTTATTGTTATAAGGACCCACATGACTATACCTCAACAATCAAGTGAGAAGAGAATATACCTCTCTTTGAATACCTCAAAATATAAACTAAAAAAAGAGCTAGTGCTCCTACTAATATGAAACGAGAAAAATAATTAGAATATCGCAATTTTCTATTTAATATTACCATTTTATCATCTGCTACTTTAGTCTTTGATAAAAAAATTAAAATCAAGAGGTATTGTATTAGAAAAGTTTAACAAATTTTGAGAAAAAGATTTTCTAGCTGCACCTTTACAATTCCACAACAAAATATGGAGAGGGCCTCTTTAGTACTCCGCTTTGTTAAATAAAAAGCATTATTTACCTGTGACTCATCATCATTCAATTGAGTATTATGATTTGTTTGATCAGTTATCCTACGTTGGTTCTTGAATTTCTTGCTTCCCCTTGACCCTAAAACTTACATTAAGCTAAGAACCAGTAACCACTTCCTTGCCCAAAGAGCTAGATTCACCTTCAAAGAAATGACTGGCTCTTTTTGGTCATACACCCATAACCCCACTTAATTTGGTCATCCTATTTGTAACCAATAGCCCGGATCAGAAACTGAGGTCTGGTTAATAGTGATTATCGTTCAAAAGGTCTCTAGAATCCGTTGAGCCTGGCCCACTACATCGGGAACAGATTAGCTGGAGACAAAAACATAAGCACCCGACTGAACTACCTATTATGGTTATGGTTGAACACGCCAGTGTTCACTCTGGGACCCAGCTGTACTGAACGCACCGTGTTCAACCATGATAGGTAGTTCAGCCAGATGTGTATGATTTTGTCTCCGGTTCATACCGACTGCACTACATCAAGGAAATAATTGCCCTAATTTAAACTAGACCTGCGAAAAGATTAATTCAACTTGACCCTAATAGGGGAATTGGCCACCTTAACACCAACTCTACCTCACTGCTATACGGTGGGGGTCAGATTTCTGAGGTGGACTGAATTATAAAAACCCTGGAAAATTCAATTCATTCAAGCAACAACACAATGACAAAGCAACAAACTGTGGAAAGAAACAACAATAAAGCAGCAAAGAGCCAGAAGAGAAGAAACAGAAAAACTAGAAAAAAAAAAAAAAAACCACAACACTAGAACTTCCTAACAGGATCATCACAGCAAATAGCATCCGATAGCCATCTGGGCATAGAATCCACATAACATTTCTGGGTCGAGAGACCTTGGATAGCTAGTTTATAAGCCACTCCATTTGTAGAGCAAGGAGCCCAACCAAAAGAAAAGGATATGCCATGAATCAGTCTCTTTAAATCTAAATATAAATAAATCAAGTCTCTGTGGCAGGAGTTTTCATCAGCATGCACACTATCTATCAGTGTATTGCAGTCAAATTCAAAAAGAGTTGTTTCCATCTTCATATCAATGGTAGTTTCCACTGCTTCAATTAAGGCCTTTGCTTCAGCTATTAGAGCAGAAGAACCTTGCACAGGACCAAATTTTGCTAGAATGCACACTCCTACTTCATCTTTGAACACTATGCCCATGGAAGCTTTATTTGAGTTCAAAAAAAAACACCACCCACGTTTTCCTTGAAAAAGCCTAATCTCGGTGGTGACCAAAAAGCTGGATTGGGCTTTGAAGCACCCTCAACCACTGAAGAGCTTACCAATCTTAGAGGCCAGATCTGAGATCTCTGAATTACAGATATGCGAAATGAAGCAATCACATCCAGAGGATTAGAATCTATTTTCTCAAAATAAAAGGCGTTTTGATCCTTCCAAATTTCCCATAAACAAATAGCACATCTAGCTAAAATCTCTGAATTTTTTGAACTAAATTCGTTTAACAGAAACAAGAACCATTTGTCAAAACTGATAGCATGACTGAGTTGAGATACATCAATACCAATACCAACCCCCAACCAAATGCTTCTCGCTTTATGACAATAAACCAACGCGTAAAGAATGGACTCTTCACACTCGTTGCATCTTTCACACACAGGAGAGGAAGTTATTTTCTTGTTAATACGGGGTGTCTTTGACTGCTATGCAGTTCAAGCAACATTTACACAGAAAGTGCACAATTTTGGATTCAATTGGGATCTTCCACAACACATTTCATCCTTCCTGAAGGAGTTTAGAAGAAAGGGATACAATGGTATTCTTGCTCAGATTGTCATGAGTAACTTGATAGGCTGATTTTCAGCAAGATCAATTTCATTTATTTTATCTACAATAGATGTAGGGAAGATAGAGTTTAATTTCATTTAGGGGGGGGGTTATTTTTTTGGATTTTGAGAGGGGGACCAAAACTCCCATGTTCTTTTTTCAGATTTATGTGGGGACCAGGGAAAGTTTATTTTCCTGTGTATAACTTATACCCATCTCTTAGGTGGGTAAATAACTTTCCCACCTTGGAGAAAAGTTACCAACACTTGAATGGGACAAAAATGCCCCTTGTAATAATGGATTTTTATGGTTAAAATGGTCATTCTCTTGTTTGCATGGAAAATAAAAGAACATGGGTAAACGCACTTACCCGGGTAAGTCTTTCCTAGGAAACACTACTTACCTTGATAAATACATTTACCCGGGTAAATAACTTACCAAAAAACAAACGGGGCCTATGCTACCACCAAAGGGCTCCCACGCCATGGCCTTGGCCCAATAGGTTTAAAATTTTCTAAGCATGGGATCCACAGGTCATCCCAGATCCTAATGTTTGAAAACTTATGTACTTTCCAAAGAGCTCCCTTCTCAATCGCTCCCCTCCCTTCTAGCACACTTTTCCATTCCCAAGATTGCCATCTTCTTCCCCTGGCTCTTAAAATTTGATTATTTGGGAAATATTTGGCTTTCATTGTACGAGCCCAAAGGCTATAAGAATCAGAATAGACCCTTAGGCTAGCTTTGAGAGGAGAGCTACATTGAAATCATGAGGATTTCTGAAACCAAGACTTCCTAAACCCTTATTTTTTCTTAATTGCTCCCAAGATACCCATCTCATCTTTCCCTTTTCCTCTCTGTCCCCCCACTAGAATTTCATTTGAGTTTTCCTATTGCTATCACAAGTTTTTTTTGACAAAAGAAAGCAAGACATGCAATAGGTGGGGATGACTGTGATTACCGATTTAAGAAGAAACCTCCTTCCCGGCCTAAGAGAGAAGGGAACTTCTCCACCCATTTGCTTTACTTGCAACTCTATCAGTCAAGTAGTCAAAAAGATGACACTTTCTTATGTATATCATAGGAAAAGTCCCCAAATAAACAAAAGGTTTATCTACCTTTTTAATATGGAGCATGGAAGCCAGTATTCTCATGAGTCTAAGATATATATATAGCTATCATCTTTGAGAGGAGAGATAAATTGAAATCATGAGGATCTCTGAAACCAAGACTTCCTAAACCCTTATTTTTTCTTAATTGCTCCCAAGATACCCATCTCGTCTTTCTCTTTTCCTCTGTGTCCCCCCACTAGAATTTCATTTGAGTTTTCCTAATGCTATCACAATTTTTTTTTTTCGCAAAAGAAATCAAGACATGCAATAGGTGAGGATGGCTGTGATTACCGATTTAAGAAGAAACCTCCTTCCCGGCCTAAGAGAGAAGGGAATTTCTACACCCATTTGCTTTACTTGTAACTCTATCAGTCAAGTAGTCAAAAAGATGACACTTTCTTATGTTTATCATAGAAAAAGTCCCCAAATAAACTAAAGGTTTATCAACCTTTTTAATATGGAGCATGGAAGCCAATATTCTCATGAGTCTAAGATATATATATAGCTATCATCTACAAAGAGATGATTTGGAATAGTTCACATGTTGACCAGAGGCTTTCTCATACAGAGATGGCTTCCAATAGAATCCCTCCTTCCTCCATATCAGCTTTGGCAAAGATATAGCTATCATCTGCAAAAAACAAGTGAGAGATCATTGGAGACTGCCTACAAATCTTTACCCCAGAAAGCCTTTTGTCACTAATTAAACCATTCAGAAGAGAAGAGAAAACTTCAAAACAAAGGAGAAATAAGTAAGAAGAAAAGGGGTCTCCTTGTCTTAGCCCTATTTGAGGTCATATTTTCTTTGATGGAGAGCCATTCACTAGGATTTGATACAAGACAAAGAAACACACTTCATTATCCACTTTATCCAGCTTTGGCCAAAACCCAATTTTCCATGACCCTTTGCAAGGTAACACCATTCCACCTTATCATAGGCCTTGCTCATGTCTAGTTTTATAGCCATCCTTCCTTTTTTGCTTTTGAGTGACTCGTATATGTAATGCAATACTTCATGAGTAGATGAATGTTATCAAAATCACTTTTCTTGGAATGAATGCACTTTAATTGTCAGCATGGTTTTTAAAAACGAACCGGTGACCGAACCGGTCAGGGGTCTGGTTACCAATTCGAACGGCCGGCCCGTTCTAACAAAAAAAAAATAAATAATTTTAAAAAGATTAAAAATTTGGAAAACGGTCAAAACCGTTCGAACGGTTCAGCGGTTTGCTGACCAAAATCAACGATTTTGAGGGAAAAAAATGGTTTTGGAGGAAAATGGAACCGGTTCTCGGTCTTTCCGGTCCGACCGTCCGTTCTGGTCCAGTTTTTAAAACAGTTATTCTTAGAGATAAGATTCTCTAGTTTGCATTTTAGCCTATTTGCTAAAATTTTTGCTATTATCTTGTAAATAGAGTTGCATAGGCTAATTGGGAGGAACTGAGAGGCTGACTCTTGATTCATCACTTTAAGGAATACGAGTGATAATGGTAGAATTCACATTGGCATCTAAATCTCCTTCTCCAAAAAAATCCCCAATCTCTTTCACAATGTCATCCTTTATAAGGCCCCTGAACTTTTGAAAGAGAAAGTTCGGGAAGCCATCCGGACCCGGTGCTTTCCTAGGAGACATTTGAAGGAGGGCTTGGTGAATTTCTTCATCTGATACTTCCCTTTTATCCTCATCTGATATTGTTGGATGCAAGTTTCTTAGGGTTGCCTCCACATCCTCCTCCATTGGATTTAATGAAGTAAAAGTTTTCTCAAAGTGGTCATAAAGATCTTCTTGATGCTCACCTCACCTTCCATCCATTCCCCATCTTTGTTTTTTAGTTTCAAAACTCTAGTTTTGGCTCTCTTTATAGCCGCATTATGAAAAAAATCTAGTGTTTCGGTCCCCATGGGTCAGCCAGTTAACTCTAGTTTTCGAAGATGCACTATCTCCCCAACTAGTATCACCAAAGCCCCTGTCACTTTCACCATGAACACTTCCCAGATTTTGTCGGTTCCTTGTTTAGGTTTGCATGTAAGTTTGAAATTCAGGCGGTTGCCACTTTGGTTGGAACAGATTTTCTAGTTTCAACCAAGGGCCATAAAAGTTCATAGGATGAGTAGCAAAATACTCTTTCAAGTTGGTTGGGTGTTGAGTTCCCAACACACACCGATGATAACCATGTCCTAGACGGCCACAAAAGTAACACACTCCTAGCAGGTTCTCATACTTATAGACAACCCAAACATTAGAAGTAATGAAACCTTCTACTTTCAAAGGACGATCAATGTTGATAACCTCCTTCATTATAATAAATTCCCTAATTAACTCAATACTTAAACCGTCCAAAAATGTTGTTCTGATTCTTTCCCCAATATCCTGTCTAACTAATTCATAAGGGAGGTTATGAATCTGGAGACAAACCTGAACATTTGTTAAAACCCATTGTCCCTGTGTTCTTCCTTCCCTCCATTCTGCTAATAAGAGCCACTTGTAAAAAATCACCCATGGACCGTTATTTCGAATGTTGTCTAAATCTTGTTTATAGTGAAATCTAAACCAATAATAGCCCCTACTCAACGACCAAACCATCAAACTATTGCTACTAAAGCCCCAACTAGCATAAGCTCTATTTATGAGATCCTGAAGAGGAATGGAGGTTCGAGGGAATAACCGATGTATAAGATAGAGCCTCCACACACTTCTCACTTCGTATGTAATGATATCACTTACACCAAAAAGTTCTACAGCTTGATCAGTATTGTCTTGCAGCATTTGGGCAAACTCTAAGTTCAAATCATCAAAATCATGCCCTCGACTTTGTAGTATCATCCATCCTATCTACAAACAACAGAACAACTGAAGAAAAAGAATAAGAACTCTACAAAGGGGGAAGAACACTCTACAACAAGGGAAAGAAACCCCCAAAAGGGAAAATACCTGATAATCAAGAGAGACACAAAAAAAGTAGGAAGCACCGATGAACAGGAACACACCCACAAACCAGAAATGTAGAACCAAAGATATCAGAGACTAACAAAGATATGAAGCTCACCTTGGAAAAGAGAAAACTTAACCAACAACAGATGAAACTAATAGTCTATAAACATTAACAAGTTTCAATACTCTTACGGTCTTACCCAATTGTTGTGAGAAAACATGACAAAACTTCCCTACGATATTATTTATCTATCTATCTATCTATCTATCTATCTATATAGATATAGATAAAACTCTGTCCATGTCTACCCACATAACATCGAAGCCACACATGGAGAATATCTCATCTTTCTACATAGTATTATGCACGGGGAGATGTTTCCAATTTACGGGGGTAGTGTGTTGTGGGTAGACATGGACAGGACTTCCGGAGTCCTACCACCCCCACTTTCTCCTAAATCATCTCCAATTTCTATTTATCTCCTAACTTATCTCTAATTTACTAAAGAGTTTCTCTCCAAATTATCTCTAATTTCTATATATCATCTTCCCCACCTTTTTATCTATCTAAAAAAAGTTTAAATAAAAAAAAATTAAGAATTATTTAAATATTCTAACAAAATTATATAATAACTTTAAATATTTATGAAAAACACAAAAGTTGATTATAATAGATTTAATAATATTCATATTATCAATAGTTTATATTTTTGCAAAATTCATCAAGAAATTATATATGTACTAACAACATAAATGATGATTTTCCAAATTGTTCAAATTAAATGTTATTCAAATAATAGAAATTTAACATTACAAAATAATAAAATACTAAAAATAGCTAAATAACTATAGAGAAAAACAAATATTTTAAATAAAGAAATATCTTAAATTCAAATAATGAATATTTTTAATATTTTATATATTATTTAAATATTTAAATAAATAAATATTTTAAATAACGAAATATTTAACATAACTAAACTTTAAATAGTTAGAACAATGAATTTATGCAATAAAATAAAAAATCTTAAAAATAAAAATAATTGTAACATAATATTCAAATAAATAAATAATTAATAATGATATAACTTTATGGATTATTAAATTCAAAAATTATTAGAATTAAAAAATTTAAATAATGATATTATTTAAATAACTAAATAACATTTTAAATAACCAAATTCACTTATATCAACTAATAATTCTATAAAAATAAATTTCAAAAGACAATATTCATTAATAATGATCATAAAATCTTAATCTGTATTTATTATATATTTATATATACTAAAGTTAATATTTATTATATTTTCAGCAATTATTTATAGTTTCTTGTGGTAAATATATTTTCAATAAATATGTATAAACCTATATTTGTTTTGTTATTTAACAGAAAATTTTTAATAATTATTGGATATTAAACTACTTTATTTAAATTTTAAGTTTAATTTAATGTTTTTATTGTATTTTTATTCTAATATATTCATTGATATTTATTAGAAACTAAACTATTATTTGAGATTATAATATTTATTGACTAACTTAATATATTTTTATTATTTATTATATTTTTATAATTATGTATTTTATTGTTTAGCTTTCTTTAACAAATCTTGTGCATTACACGGGTCCCCACTAGCATCATGTATAGGAATGGTTGTGATGTACTATGAAAGCCATACATACGTCAAAGTGAGGGATGATTCATAGGGATGTAATTGAATTGGATCCAACTACATCCATTGCATCTCATTATATGTCCAATTTCAGATGGGATTTGGATTTAATCCACAACCATCCTATTAAATTTAACATGACCAAAAATTAAATTAAAAAAGTTAAAAAAAAATAATTATTTTTAACTTATATATAATAAATATTTATAAATATTAAATATTAAATTTATCAATTACAAATTTTATATAACTTTATATAATATCTATATATATAATTATTCTCTCTCTCTCTATATATATATAATATTTTATCAAATTCAGATTTTAATCAAATTGAAATTGAATGGATGAGATTAAATCTTCATCCGATCCCATTATTAATCGAATGCAAATTCCAGCATCCAAATCCAATATTAAATTTTTTTGGAGTCCATTGAAAACGCTAATGATTCATACTAATACAGTCATACTCACCCGCCGGTGATCAAGTTATACCGCTGAAGAAGTAAAAAGTAAATATAAGGTTTATGGTTCTGACCTCTCCACTGAGAAGTGAGGAATGGAATAAATCCAAAGAAGGTTTATGGTTGGCATGTGGTGGTCCTGCTACATTCAATTTCATCGAATTAAAAGACAAAAGGCACCAAACAAGAATATATCGAGACAGTGACAGGCTACGTCCCTTCACCTTCCATAAATCTTTCTATTTATTTTCTGTGGTTAAAGTAATACGAAAGAAGAAGAATAAAGGTAAATGGGCAATGGCACTTTGGTTCTGTTAGGGCACGGCCGACCGGGAAATCCATGATCCATGATGCACCCACTATTAACTCAAGTCCAATGTACGAGAAAACCACTGCAATTTGAAATATAGGGCCATGTTTGGTTTAATTATCATTGTTTCTCATTTTTATTCAATATGAAATTCTAAAATGAATAAAAATGGGTAAATATATGTAAAATAAGAAAATATTGCTATAAACCAAATACTTTTTTTTATAAGAAAGAATTCTTTTCAGACTGACAAGTGCCCTATGATGCATAGATGTTTATCGGTGGATGGCCGGCAGTCAATGTTTATCAATTGGCATAGATGTTTTGTAAAAGTATTTTCGTAAAAGTGTTTTTTATAAAAGTACTTTCATAAAAATATTTTTATAAAAGTGTTTTCATAAAAGTACTTTACTTTCACAAAAGTACTTTTCATAAATTTACTTTTATAAAAGTACTTTTACAAAATTGCTTTTGTAAAGTACTTTTATAAAAGTGCTTTCATAAAAATACTTTACTTCCACAAAAGTGAACATCTATGGTAGTAGTTTGGGGTGGTCACGAGCCGAGCTCTTCACGAGCTATTCGAGCTCGGCTCGGCTCGGTTTCGACCGCCTCGTTCTCAGTGTCAAGCGAGTTCATGGAATGGCACCCACTCATCAAGGATGGGGAACCCTCGATTTTTCCTTGCCCTGTCCCTAGTGTTCGGTGGGTTCAAGGCAAGACACTCACTCCCTATGAACCCAATATTCAATTTGATGAAAAATGATCAAAAGGATATACTTAGTATCAACCACATGGTAAATTTTTAAAGGTATACTAAATTGTCTTTAATTTTCAAAAATGTAATTTTATGAAAATTAATTACATTTGTGTAATTTTGAAAATGTATTCAAATTTGTTTTTAAAATGTTATTAAATAATTGCTTTTTAAATGGTTACTAACAGAATTACACTAATTTATCTTATATTTTCTAATATAAACTAATCAATAATTTCCTTTTCCAATATTATACTAATTTATCTTAATAATTTGTGTAATTATTGATTCAAATTACAGTTTCCCTTTTCCATACTCATTTATCTTTAATAATTTTCAATAATTTACATTGAAAATTACATAATTTTTTAATAGTTTTCCAAAATCTATCAAGTGTAATAAATTTTCCTAAAATTTCCAAAATATTCTAATAATTTTCAATAATTATTTGATACATTTTAAATAAACTTTCAAAGCTTTTCCAAAAGTACAATATTATATCTTTTAATTTCCAAAATGTTATTTTATGAAAATGTAGTTTTATGAAAATTTTTGAAAAAGTTATTATATTTGTTTAATTATGGAGATTTGTTGAAAAATATTTTAAAATTTTAATTAATAACAAAATAACACTAATTTGTCTTTTATTTTCTAATATAAATTAATTAATAATTTTATTTTCTAACATTATAATATCATATTCCCCTATCTACATTCCATTATTAACTATAATAATAGCAATAACTAAAATTTTATACTTTTTAATAATTTTTAAATGAAATTATCAACTTTATAGAAATTAGTTAAGAGTTTTCAATTTCTATAAAATGTTGTTAATTAACATGAGTATAACAGAATTTACCCAAAACAATTTAAAAAGTCATGATGAGTTAATAATAATAGTATTTATTAATTTTTGGTAATTTATTAACTGTATTAATAAGATTATTTAATTTTTGATAATTTACTAATTGTCTTTATTAACTTTTGGTAATAACACTATCTAATACTCATTGAATATGAGTTAACCGTTTTTAACTATTTATTAATTAATATGGATATTTTAAATGAGAGATGATGGATATAGATTGGGGGGAGAGATTTTAGGAATTGATTGGGGAGTGGGGTTGGGAATGGTGACATGGCTTAATGGGACTGATGGGAAGGAGAGAGGAGAGAGTCAAGGAGAATATTGGGTAATGGAGCAAGGAGAGGCATGGTGACGTGGACCATCTGCTCGCTACTACTACTGATAGGCTCAAGGTGGTGTCATGACTGACGTGTGATTGAGTGTTTTTAACTCACCATTGATTTGGTTGGTTATTCATTTAATCTCTCATTTGGTCTTGATTTTGGGTCTAATTCTCTTGAAATCTGTTATTTAGTCAAAAAAACATTTACTTAGTAAAAAATCATCTGATTTGAGCGGTTGAAAGTTATCCATTCACCGTGGTCATTGGGTTGTAGATTGCACATTCAATGTATGTACAAACTTCCATAGGCCATAACCATGCGTCTCAAGGCACCACTTCTATTTTTTGCCAAAAAAGAAACAGTTTTTTTGGGTCTTAAATTGCATTTTTTAACATTTTTATACAAAAATGAAAACTAAATTTAAAAATATAATTAAATATAAAATTATATATATTACATCTAATTATCTACTTTTTTGAATTTTTTATTTTTTAATTACACATAATTATCCATTAAACCAATAAGGAAATCACATATGCTTAACTATTTCTAACAATCATAAAGAAAGAGGGATTTGCTTTTCTAATGTTTAACCAAGTGGCACCATTTTCCCCCACTTCCTCCTAAATTGTCTCTAATTCCTAGTTATCTCCTAAATTATCTCTATTTCCTATTTACCTCTTAAATTATCTCTAATTTAGTAGAGAGATTCTCTCTTAAACTATCTCTAATTCCTATTTATCCTCTTCCCACACTTTTTATCTATATCTATCTAAAGAAAGTTTCAATTATAAATTTCAAAATTATTTAAATATTATAACAAAATTATATATTAAATTTAAAATATTTATTCAAAACACCAAAAATTAATTATAATAGGTTAAATAATATTCATATTATTGATAATTCTATATTTTTACAAGATTCATCATGAAAATATGTAGTAATAATATAAATTATAAGTTTCGGAATGATTCAATTTAAATGTTATTCAAATAATAAAAATTTAACACTAAAAAACAAATATTATTTCAATATTTCAATAACTAAATATCTTAAATATAAAAACATTAAAAGTAGCTAAATAATTATATAAAAACATTTAATATTACGTAAATAACATTAAAATAAATAAAATTCAAATAATGAAAATTTTAAAATATTCTACATATTATTTAAATATTTAAATAACGAAATATTTAAAATTACTAAATTTTAAACAGTTAAAATAACAAAATTATGTAATAAATTAAAAAACATTCTTCAAAGTAAAATATAATTATATTAGATTTCATAATATTCATGTTAATAATAATTTAATATTTTACAAAATTAATAACAAATTATGTAATAATAGTAAAATTGTAATTTTATGGATTATTAAATTTTAATAAATAATTATTATTTTAAAATTTTAAATAACAATATTATTTTAATAACTAAATAATATTGTGAATAACTAATTCCACTCATATCAATTAATAATTATAGAAAATAACTTTCAAAAAAATTAAATTTATTATTAATAATTTTTCAATAATAGTGTATATTCATTATATATTTATATATACTAAAATTGGAATTTATTTTATTTTTAGTAATTATTTATTGTATACTTTGATAAATATATCTTCAATAATTATTTATACATCTATTTTTGTTTTGTTATTTAATAGAAAATTTTCAATAATTATTGGAGATTAAACAACTATTGTTTAACTTTTGAAATTTAATTTATTGTATTTTAATTTTGTTATAAATTTGTTTTTAGTAATTATATATTTTTTTATAATTTATAGAGATTAAACTATTATTTGAGATTACATTACTTATTGACTAATTTAGTTTATTTTTAGTATTTATTATTATTTTTAATTATTGTATATTTTTTAGATATATATTATATTTTCATTATAAATTTATTTTCAATGATTGTGTATTTTTACTATATATTTTCAATAATTATTTGAGATTAAACTATTGTTATTTATTAGAAATTACACTATAAATTTAGCTGAAATTAGGAGCGTTCAAGGATTGGTTCAGTTCAATTGCAGGTTGTTTCGCCAACCAAATCTATATGGTCAAGTCAGGAGTTTGTCACTGGAAATCGATTGATGATTAATAAAAACCTGCCAACTTGGGTTGTATTGGTTTGGGAATATTTAAACTTAAAAATTAAATTTAAATTTCACAAATTATAGTGATATTATTAAAAAATAAATTTATGATATAAAATATTTTAGGTTGAGAAATATGAGAATTTTCCTACTTTCCTGTATTAAAAAAAACATAAAATATAAAATATTAATATATATTTATGGTCAGATCGATTTAGTTTTAGTCGGTTTACAAATGGCCAAACCGAAACTAACCTAACTTAGTCGGGTTAGAAAATTGCTAAACCAAAACCGATCGAAAAATATTAAAAAATCGATCAACTCGAATCGGATTTGATTGGATTGATTATTAAAAAGTTAAAATATAAAACAATTATATACTCTTATGTATTTCTATAGTTTAACTTTTGCTTAACAGAGCTCGTACATTACATGGGTACCTGCTAATATATATATATATATTAATAAGAAATCATATAACCAATTTGACCCAAAGGGTGAAGTTGGTGACCCACAACCTGAATCAAAAACGGTTTTTGAAGCATTGGTCATGAGATGGGAGTGAGACCCATAACTCTAGTATTATCCTCCCGAGGTTATTGACGAATGAAATAAATTAACGATAACTTTTGAAATTATACGTGTAACTCCAATTCACAACGAGTAGAGAGTGGGTAGAAAAAATGAGTAGGAAATCATCAGTGAGTGTGGGTGGAATTCGCTTTGGGCAAATTTTATTATTTAAAATTTTTTTCAAAACCCGCTTTGGGTAACTTGAATGTATGTATCTCTAAAAATATGCATGTTTTGAATGATGACATGTTGACCCATCAAAAGTTAATAATTGCGGGTTCGTGATACAATTATCAATTAATAATTATATGATAATATGATTATATCAGCATTTGCCATTTGTTCTGGAGGTTGGTGTTTCCTTAGCGATAGCGCCTAGCGGTGGTAGATTCGGGTTTACAATGCACTTAGACCAAGCGGTCCAGACCAATTGCTGTAACACCTTTGTTTCGTTACCTCCATGGATTTTAAAAACTAACCGGTGATTGAATCGGTCAGGGGTCTAGTTATTGGTTCGAACAGTCTGATCATTTGATTCAAATGGTTGATTTGTTTTGATAAAAAAATAATAAAATTAAAAAATTAGTAAATAGTCAAAATCGTTTGAACGGTTAGAACAGTTAACTGGTTGGTTCAATGTTTTACTGACCAAAATCAATTGTTTTGGGGGAAAAAAACGATTTTAAAGAAAAACGGAACCGGTCATATGACGGGCTTCCGATTTTTTCAATCTGACCATTCGGTCCAATCCGATTTTGAAAACAGTAATTGCCTCCCTCGGAGACATCTAACCAAAAAAAACTCCTCTCTCTCTTTCTCTCTCACTGGGTTCTTAACCGGACTGGAGAGTGGAGGTAGTGAAATCAGATTTCCCCACAAAGAATGGTCCAAACATCCATCTTCTTGTGCGAATGAAATTTGAAATCTCTGTCTCCGAGAGTGGAAATTCAATCTCGGAGTCGGAAGTAGCATGATAAATCGATAATTGAAGAGAGGGCTCGATCTCAATGACAATGGTAGAGTGTGCCTGTGCCCTGTGGTAGGCCCGAGAGGGCGATAAGCAGCACATGGGTTTATTGATTGGGTGGGATTGATGGGAATGAATTGTCGTTTGTCGATTGTATGTAGAGCAATAGAGATGGTATAACCAACGGACGGACCTATCACCTATATAAGGATTAAATGGGATTAAGGTTGAGTGGGGTCCACCCTACACAGTTGGGAGGACATTGCCAGATTGGGAGACTTTGGATGGAAATGCAAATTTGTATATAAAAAAAAGGCAAAATTCCGTATTAGGATTTAGGTATGAATTCGAATCTCCTGCCCATGTGCATCCATAACACATTATCCCCATAAATTGAGAACATCTACAGATGATGAGATATTTTCTATGTATAACTGCGATAACGTAGGCAAAGTTCTCGTCGTGGGCAGAAGATCCGACCTCGATAGATATGCACTCTTTTTCGGTAGGGCCAAGAGCCCTACAGATGTCAGATGATATCGGATTTGAGGTTAGGGCTTAGCGGCTTACTATAATATAATAGGATAAACTATATAAATATATAGATGAAGCTGTGAGTTGTGAGCGACGGGGGAAGAGAAGAGAGAGAGAGAGAGTGAGTGGAGTACAAGTCACGGTTCCATAAACCAGGACCCTAAGGTTGTGATGGTGACGGGCCATTCGCCACTTTCCCTCGACAGCTGTCTGACCAGACCAGTCCTCACTCTTTGGTATCAATGCTTCCCCATATTCAATTATATGATAATTCAGCTCAACACTATTAACACGCGTCTTACATGCAAGATTCTAGGGAGTGTCTACTGTGATTTTCAATCTTATCTTTAGCTAGCTAGCATGTTCTAATGAGACAAAACTTAATTTCGAGGATCATCCCTTTTAGTTTTAACAGATGGGTTTGATCCAACGGTGGTGGTGATGCAGCAGCATTTCAGCACATTAGTTTAATGCCTTGCGACATATTTATATAACATTTAGTGATTTAACAAACAAACAATTTATACCGGATATAAGTTAACAGTTAACAATTGTTAAGTGCGTTGAAACAGGTAAAAGTAAAAGGGTACCATAACAATTTCTCAATTCTCTCTCTCTCTCTGTAACTAGAAAATTTTCTCTTGGATAAAGGGCGGCCGAGCCAACCTTTCTTCTCTTCTCCACCGATATCAGCGCTTAAAAGATAAAGGAGAGTCATCAGTTTGAGTTTGACCTCGGTTGGTGTGAGTGTGACGCAGTGGTATCTTCATTCATCAATATCAATCTAATCTCAACTCTCGATTTAAAACATTCTCTCTCTCTCTCTTCTCCAATTGACTTTTGTATATAGATATACTGGCCTCCATCCATCCATCCATTCATGAGCAATGATACATGAAAAGAAAAAAGAAAAGCACAACATCATACATGGAGCCATGGAGGGGGGCAGCTCGTAGAGAAAACCCATCACTTCGAAAAGTTGTTTTCGGGCCCAAACCCTAGTGTGTGTGTGGACGGAGGACGGCTGTGTCAGGTGGACCACAGATTCATCCCCCCAAGGCAAACAAAAGTGTGTTAACGCCGTCTAGTGCTGGAAAGCGACATCGTCTCTAGTCTCTACCCTCCCACGGAGCCCGTCGATCATATATACTACTTCCATTCTTTGAAGGATGAGGCTAATGTAATCTCTAGTAATTACTGCTACAATTTCATCACCTGTTAGTAAGTTTTATTTACAGACAGAAAAAAAAAATTAATAATAATAATCGAAAAACATAGTTATCTCAATAACGAGATGTCTATGCTTCATGTGATGTGTAATAGGGATAAGGAGATGTATACCTTTTACTGTTTTGTCTGCCATGGTTCGAATGTTGGAAGCTTGGGAAGCAAAGGTATGAGTGTGTAAATGGCGGCAAAGACTCGTCTCAACAACACGGACAAAAAAACAATACTAAGAACACCAGAAAGAGAGAGAAGGGGCGCGGAGCAAGAAAGATACTGCTGCGTGATTCAGCTCTACAGTTTCAAACAGTTGGAGTTTTTTTCTCTTCAAGTCTAAAAGCGGCGGGCTCGGTCTTTGGATTCTGCCTTTCTTTTTTCTTTGATGGTTGATGACAAAGTTGGTTTCCTGTTTTAGGGAAAGATCATGAGAACCGAAATCAGTGGTGAGCCTGTTTCTGATATGGCAGCAGCGGAGACTGCTGCGGGAGACGGTATGCGTCTTAAGTTGCAACGCACTCCATCTTTTCCGTATAAAATGACCACGGCAGCGCCGGTGGCGATGGCTGAGGTTTTTGGTGGTGGCCCCACCTTTTACAGCGGAAGCAAAGAGGGGGCCAGGTTTACGAGAGCTATATACGATTCTGCTGTTGGTGGTGGTGGCGGTGCTGCAGCCATGACTCTGCAGCCTTTTAACACCTATACTGCCTTCAAGTCCCCAGGTCAGTATTTCCTAATTCCTTTCATGTTAATGCAAAGAAAAACTTGATTGAGTTTTCTTATTGAAGAAAAGCGGGTCCCTGAGGGACTAAACTTGAAGATGAGGATGTGATCTTGTGTCCACAGGAGGAGGAATGGCGGCATCTCTGAGATTTCCTTTTACATCTACTCAGTGGCAGGAACTTGAGAGGCAGGCTTTGATCTACAAGTATATGATGGCTTCTGTACCTGTTCCTCCTGATCTTCTCATGACCATTAGCAGAAACCCCTCCCAACCTATTGCTTCCCAATCTACCAGTAACCGTTTCTTCTCCTTCAAATCATTTTTTTCTTGTGTTTGTGTTTTTCTGTTGATACTATTCGACGTTGGTTTTATATTTCTCGTCCTGTATTATAGTTTCTTTGGGTGGTGTTGGTTGATTTGTTTATTTCAAAAAGGCTTATTCTTCTCTGTTTAATGATCATGTTCAGTGGGTCGGGGGGCTTGTTTCAATCTACGATTCTCTAGCAGCACGGATCCTGAGCCGGGGAGGTGTCGCAGAACGGATGGAAAGAAGTGGCGGTGTTCCAGAGATGTGGCACCTGATCAGAAGTACTGTGAGCGACACATGCACAGAGGCCGCCCCCGTTCAAGAAAGCCTGTGGAACTACAAGCTGAAGGCGAGGACAACAACATCGCTAGCAATAACGCGCCCTCGGCTACATCAACACCAGCAACCGCATGCCTTCCTACCATCGCAACCAATACCAGTAATATATCATTTCATCGCCTCGCGGCAGAGAAGTTTGACACTCAACCTTCTAGGGTTTTGGTCGATCCCGCATACAAAGTCTCCCCTTTCGAAACCAATTTCCCTTCGCTATCTTACAAGCAACCTGGGTGAGTTACATTTTCCAGCCATTTCTCTGAATACGAAATGCATATGTATTTTCTTCGCTTTCTTTTTCTTCTTTTCCTCTGGTATTAATGTTTGATTTTGCTGCTTAAAACGTAAAAAGGTGCGCGGAGTGGACGTCAAAAGGAGAAACGGTTTCCTTTACTGCATTTGATCAGCAATGGCAGCAGCAGATGAACACGAAAGTAGCATTTAGGACTGATAGCAACCTGTGTAATGCCACTGTATATCGACAACATTACAAAGAAGCGACAAATTTGAACTTGCACTCGCATCTCGGTGAGGGCGAAGGATCAGAACAACAGCAGACTGATAATTGTTGCTTGCTCCTTAATACCGGATTTGTCTCCTTAGATGGCTCGTCCGGCTCCGACAGGAGACAAACGCCGAGAGGATTCATAGATGCCTGGTCAACTGCGGGGAGTGAAAACACCACGGCCAGCAGAGGCAAGTCCCCTGTTTCTTCAAATGGGATACTGTCGCTGTCGTCTTCTCTTACATTGTCAATGTCGGGTGGATGTGGGATGGGGGAGGAAATGGATCAGGTGCAGAGGGATCTTGGGGTTATGGGCTCTGAACGTGACATCGGTGAAGGGTGTCAACCTTCAAGCTGGATGAACCCTGTTTCATGGGTATCTTCTCCACCCGGTGGACCATTGGGGGAAGTTTTACTACCAAGCGGTGCTGCCACTGTGACTGGGGCGTCGAATGGGGTTTGTCCTGAAAGCTGCAGCGGAGGTACCACAGGGAAAAAGAGCTCGTATGGTGGCGAGGATCTTAATTTGATGAGCGACTTTTGGGGTGTCGGTAGCGATCCCAGTAGCCCTCCAGCAACTACAGCTTCATCTCCGTCGGGTGTCCTGCAGAAGACCCTCGTATCTCTCTCAGATAGCAGTGGTAGCAGCAGCCCCTCGTTCACGGCTGGTGTGCCAAAGTCGGAGATTGCTATCCAGTGGTCGAACCAGAGCAAATGACCATGATTTCGTTTAGTTCGGTGAGGGCGACGAGGGAACTGAAAAACCGATGAGCCGTAGTTAATAATTATTATTAATCGTATCCCTTTTGTTTTGAATGGGCTTATCATGCTCATTCTGGCCTTCCGGTGTGTCGTCGCTGTTAGAACTTAGACGCTTGTGAGTTTGAGAGCACTCACTGGATTAATGGAGTGGGACTTAGGAATGTAGTCCAAGCAAAAGGGTTTGTTGGGGTTCAACCGTTCACAAGCTTGCAATATTTATTGGGTTTTAGGGATTAATAAATCCCCAACTTTATTTTGTGAATTGTGTAATTGAAGTTATTTGCACAAAATGCTGGACAAACTGGTCCTTCCCTTTCTCACCCTACCTACACCAAAAATTGAGCATAACCGGATCCAATTTCAACCATTTCATTTTTAGCATGTTTCTATGACAATTTTACTTATAATAGATCCATGTAAAACAAATTTAATTAATTTCTTGGTTAAGCCCAATTTGTCTATTCCTTGATCTCGATTGAAGAACAAGAGATTACTGGTTAAATGGTGCATCACCAATTCATCTTTACTGAAATCTTTTCCCAACATTCCTCCAATTTAATCCACAATAATAATATGCAGCTGACCTTTGTTAACAATTAAAGTCCTTGGAGTGGTTTCCTTGTTACAACTGATGAGGGAGCCAAGGGTGGCCATTAAAATAGTATATGGTTTATGGCAAGGTTGAAAGTTTCAGATTCAGCGGCTTGGTATAACAAGTATTCAAATTCAGCAATTTCTTAATTTTTTTTTTCTTTTCTTGTATGAATACTCTTTTGGTATGGCGTGCTTTATTAAACTTTACTTTGTTTGGCTAACAAATGAAAACTTATTAAAAGTCTGACAAATATGAAACCTTTTTCTGTAACTATAAAGACCAATGTATATGGGGTCTTTTTGTCTTTCCAACATGTGGTTTTTCAACAGTTTTAGGGTTTTGCCCCTTCTTTTCGGAAAAAAAAAAGATGAGATGTGCCTATAACCCACTCTACTTCACAGGCCTGGACATGAATTTGCATTTGGGCTTGAAATGCATTAGGCATTACACCACCCCGCGCTTACGACTTATTCTGACGTTATTTAAATTTCAATCACCATTTCATGAACCCAAATACATTTTAGTTGAATTAATCAACTTAGCTTACACTTATTGCATTGTTGTTTTTGTTTTTGAAAGCCACGTATTGCATGCTTAGATGGAAGGGAGCCGGAGAGGTGGATATATCCTCGTGGATGAAGCTGATTCATGGGAATCCAGAGTCGATTCATGGGCCAATCCCTATTCCCTATTCTGCCATCCACGAAACTGTGTGACGTTATTGTTTGAATATAGGGCCTAAGGCTATGTTTGGTTTGTAGGACAGGGATGGAAAAAAGAGAATATTTTAAAAATATTTTTTTTTTCTTTGTTTGTTTTGGAAGAAATAGGAGGATGGAATGGGAAAAGGGTGGGGTGGGGTGGGGTGGGATGTGAGATCCCAAAAATAAGAACGCGGGCGGGGTAGCACCAAATCAATGGAGTATGCGACCCCACAGAGAGGGAAAATCAAAGACGTATCTGGGAAAAACTATCGCGCCTTGTCTGAGAGGAAGCTCCTTCGTTTTCCCCCGTCTACCTCTAGGCATTCCGATGGTCATATCTCCGGCCACTTTTTCGGTGTCTTCGAACGACGGTAAGACTACATTCAAGATCTACTCGTATTAAGGGTTCTATCTATACCTTTTTTATTTTCAAGAAAGATATTCCCTGTCCGTATGTAAGAACCCTACGCACTCTCTCCATTTCCCACTTCAAGATCTTGTCCTCTGCTCTACCCTGGTTTTTGCTAGTTACCTAAATTCCTCCAAAAAGAACTGCATTTTAGGATTTTTTTCCTTTTTATGCATTTTATACTTTGCGTTTTGAGTAATTTATTGCAGTTGAGATGGCTGCCTTGAATGATCTCTCTTTGCCCTTCTAGGCTTTCATATAGACCAAATCAAAGAAGACCTTCCATTTGTTGCTCTTCTGCTCTATTGACACTCCCATCGTGGCAGGTATCTATTCTTTCTTTCTTTTGTTGCTCTCCTTGTTAATTAAAGTTAGATGTGGATATTTGTTGTTTTTTCTGCGTTGGACATGCTTTCTTATCTTTTTTGAAGATTCAAAGCTTGAGCGTTAGTTGTATGTAATTTTATTGGGTCGGTGTTTTATGCTTCTGCATACTTGTTGAATGATGAATAAATAGTTACTTTTTCTATTAATTACTTTAATGTTAATCCTTTCTATTTTGTTGGAGTTAAACGATGCTTCTGCACACTTGCTGAACGATAAAAAGCACCCAAACTAAACTCACTCCAGTACTTCTTTTGTTGTCTATGAAATCAATCAACTTCAGCAGAATTAGGGTAACCATAAACCAATCAACTTGGAAATGAAAACGACGTCCTTATCAATTTCTCGTCAAAAATAAGGACTAAGCTCTCTTTCAAATAGAAACTTGGACTAATCTCTCCAAGGTCCAATCTTTGTAACGGGAAATTGATAAGGACCAATCTCCCAACCTCTAAGAGCCTGTTCGCCAATCTTGTGAACCATGCATTCAAGATTCTTTCTCTATGAGTAGAGATTTCTTTTAGTGAAGATATAGAACAACTTATTTTTTGTTTTTTTAGGGAGATAGTAGTGGGTTAGTGGGCTTTTAATTGAGAAAAGACAAATTAACACTAACAAATTATCTGCTATTGTTAGTGATTCTGACTTCTGCTAGATTCTTTCTTCTCTTTGTTAAATCTTGTTGTTTCATACAATCCATTTATAGTTGCTTCTTGTGGTTTTCGATGGGTATTGTCTTGACCATTGTTTTTTCAATATAGATTTTTGAGAAGAACCCAACCAAGATCAAGAACTATGCATCCAGATCATCAAGACAACCACCATTCCAGCTAGCCTATGCAAGAGAGAGTCCACAATGCCAATATTAAGTTCCCCTTGGTGTTCAAGAAGCTCAGGCCTCCAACCAGGAAGCTTAAACCACATACAGGGCATCAAGGCCCAACTTGTTTATGTAATTCCTATCAATGATTACATCTTCAAAAATTGATAGATGAATTGAGTGATCTAGAGATATTTAGATTAGGATTTGAGGTTTTAAAATTTTTTATTCTTGGGAGAGACCTTTCCCTTGTTTCCTTTTTATATCAGTTATGGTTTATCTCTGATGTTTTGAAGTTGGATGATGGAGAAGCAACTCGTAGGCTTTAACATCTTTGAAATTTGCAAGTTTAATAGCATGTAATTCTGCTTTTGAATTTTTTGATTGTTTTAGTTTGAGAGGAGGAACCGCAATCTATTGTGAAGTATACACCACCCCACCGGGTGACACCCAAAACACAAAGCATGGATGGATGGCGTGTATATCTTAATTTTTAAAAAACCAATTTAATTGTTGTTAATATTTATAAATATATAAATATATAAATTTCAATTTCAATAATTGTTTTTAAAATTTATTATTAAGCATGAACCAAAAAGAAAAATTAAAATTTAGAACTAGCCTAATTATAATAATTAATTGAAGTATGGACTTTTGGTAGATTTGATGCCTCAAAACTTGGACCCTTGGTTAGGATCTCCTGGCCATTATTTTTAGTTTCTTTGTATCAAATGTCTGGTGAGTTAATGACCTGAGATTGTAAGAGGAGAAATTGATGGCTCAAATCATCTCGACACAGTTATAGTTATAGTATCTGGTCGATTGGTTGCTAAATAGGACTGCTAGCTGTTGTTGCATGGGGCCATAATTTTGCCATATGAAATTCAAATGACATGGGCCCATCATTGGTCTGTATCAAATGTGATGGTTACAATCAGCATTGTTAAAATAAGATTCTAAAAACATATATAAGTTGGATTACATCAACTAGTTTGGCTGTTTGGCCCTTAATTTACTTCATTATTTCATAACATGAGCGCAATAGCAAAATGCATCAGTATAATTGCCATAATTTGTTTAGGGAAGTAAACATGGGAAAATGAATTTTCCCAAAAACAAAAATGGGAAAATGAAAATTTCCACTAATTTTCCTTGTACAACCAAACGGTGGAAAGTAAATTTTTCACACTTTCTCATCTTATCCCATCCCACCCAAACTTTCCCACAAACCAAACGGAGCCTAAAGGATGTGATAGGAAGGGAAAATTTATTTTCCCATTCCTGCCAGAATGTGTTTGGTTCCTGAGACCAGTTATGAGAAAATTTTGCTGGATTTTTTAATTTCACAATACAAGGCTTATTTGTTTGTGAGCTGACATGGCATAATAGTATTTGAAATTTATGTCGTTAGGAAAGAAGAAAAGAGGTCTTGATAAAAAAAATTCAAAAAAAGATGAACGAGGCAAATGAAATACATCTACAATGTTACCTTCCTTGGAAAAGAAGTTGAATTGTTTAATTATGATATCAATGGTTGAAACATTTGGTCTGAAAGTTGAATTGTTGACTCACCACCAAATAGAGACATTTTACCATTTTTTGGTTACTTTTTAATTTTCTATGTCGTTTCATCATCAATAAAAACAATTGTTGTTTATCATACTTATTTTTTTAAATAATTAATATAAAATATTAAAGACATACTCATTTTTTTACATTTTTTCATTATGGATTGATACACTTGACTTGGATGGTTGAATTGCTTACCTGCCACTTGAATGGAAGAATGATTTTTTTAGGGCCAATTGTAAAAAAACATCAGTTTTATATTGTGAAAGTAGTCGGAATAGATCCAATTAATAGATTTTTTTTGTAGAGAATTAATAGAGTTTATTAGTGAGAAAAATACCTTAAATATAGGATTTAATGAGGGACAATGCAAATTAATACATAAAGCATAAGATTTACTGAGAGTGGATTAAATGTGATCACAAGTAATAGTTCAAATTATGTTTTGAGCCCTCACAAATAGAGAGAAACTAAATTAAAAAACAGGAGTAGTTAGTCAAAAAGAAAAGTTCCATGCCCTCATTTGTACTTTTAATAGTAGTATAGATATAGACATATATAAAGATTGTACATGCTAATATGCTATTTAAAATCATTTCCCATTTAATTTTTGTGAGTCTTATATTATTAGCCAATTAATGTAGTCACTCAACTCAAACCATTTTTTTATAAAGATATTAGGCCCTGTTTGGTTCACAAGAATATGGGTCTAGAATCGGAATCAGAATGGGCTATTCTGATTCCAATTGTTTGGTTGGGCAAAATCAGAATCCCATTTCTGTTCATGCTAGAATGGCATTCCCCCATTTGAGGGAGTGGCCATTTCCTGCCCCTCCCTTGTGAATGAAATCCCATTCCTACTGATTATAATTTCCATTCCCATTCCTGTCTGAATCAAACAAACTATGAAAATGGACCATTCCAATTCTGATTCCAACAACAAGCCAAACAGACCCTTAGTGCTTTCAAAAAAGACCTCAGTGTCGTTGCTTTTAAGAAGTACAGATTGATCCCCTCCACACAATAACCCGAACCTATAGGTTGGGCTCAACTAGAGGTGTAAAGTGGGTCGTGTCGTAAATTTTGGGGGTCGGCCCAGCACAACCCACGGTGGGCTTGGGGGTCTAGGCCCATGCCGTGCCGTGCCATGCTGCGGGCCTAGGCCGAGTCAAGCTACACGCCATTCGGTGGGCTTGGGCCGTGCCGGGCTAGGCCACAGGGCGGGCCTTGGGCCTAGACCGAATCGAGCTACACATTTTTTTTGATTTTTTTGTTGTGTTTTTGAAAATTTTGATTTCTTTTCTAAGAAAATTGTAAAACTAAAATATTTAACTTTCCTTTGAACTTTGGAAATTGGGAACTATTTAAAAAATTAAGAAATGAGAAATCTAAGTTATCTAACACATAAATGAAAAAAAACACTTAACCAAAATGAAATAAGAATGAGGGAATAACAAATTGGAAGAAAAATATGAATTTTATTTCATTTAAATTTGAATGGTACAAATTACAAATACAATGATTGTATCAAAGGATACTTGAATGAGTGAAATTTGAAAATGGAATAAATTAATAAAATATAAAAAATATAATATAGTTACAAATTGAAAATACAAAATTACATTGTTAAAAAATTAAAAAATATCAAATAAATTAAATAAAATTAAAATAATTTACAATCATTTGAAAAAAAAATTCTATATAAATAGTCAACTTCATGAATCATGACTTTCATCATTTGCTTTAGGTGAAATATCCAGTGTAGTATCATGCCCTCCTTTGTCTTGTAATCTATCTTTTGCATCTAGCCAATCTTTGAAGTAGATGCACATCTCTATGCTTTCATCATTCATGTAACTTCTCTTGTCATCTAACACCCTGGTACCTGCACTAAAAAAGACTTCGATGGAACTGTAGACACCGGAGGGGTTAGTAGATCACGTGCCATGGCGGTGAGATCTAGATAATTCTTTGAATGTTCACTCCACCAGGCTCAAATATCAAAATTATTTGATCCTTCATCTAAATTAGAAAAATTTGCTTGTAAATAAAAATTAAGTTCAATAAATGAACTTGTTGTAGAAGTAGCAAATTTCTGCCTTCTACTTATTAAATAAAAAAGTTTTTCTCTTCTACTACTGGTCTCAAGGTCAAAAGTAGAAGATGTTGTACAATATTCCTACAACTTCAGATTCATATAAATTGTACATTTCAAATAACAAATTATTAATTTCTTCTTTTTTATTTCCTATATCAACATTCATATTTTCACAATATGATTCAAGTAAAATATCTAAACCATCTTTCCTAATCCTAGGGTCTAATATTGTAACTAAACAATAAAGGGGAGAAATGTTCTCTCAATATTTTTTAAATTTATTTTCCATTATTTCAATGATACATTGAAATTATGGATTATTTCTATATTTTGCAAAACAATCACTAATTACCATTAATTGATAAGGTAAATTACAAGTAGTTGGATAATAAATTCCTGATAATTCATTTGTTGCATCATAAAAATGTTTTAAAAAATCTCTTATACAGACTGTCATTTCCCAGTCTTCCTTAAATATCATATCATTAGGCATTTTTGAGTTATAAAAATCAGTAAGAATTTGTTTATGAGAAATACAACTTTTTAACATAGCATATGCAGAATTTCACCTATGTTTTACATCTAATATAAAATATTTATATTTTAAACCATAGTTTTGACTTAAATATTTAAATTCTTGTTTTCTTGCCCCTGAACTTTTAATATATATAATATAATTTTTAATTTTAGAAATATGAGTAAAAATAATATTCAAGGCATCTTGAATACATAAATTTAAGATGTGACATGCACATTTAATATGAAATAATTTACCATTTAAGCATGGTCTTAATTGAGATTTTAAAATATTTATTGTAGAATCATTATTGTTGGCATAATCAAAACTAATAGAAAATAATCTATTTTCTATTTCATAAGCATACAAAGTATTTAAAATACTTGCAGCAATAGTTGGGTCAGTATGTGGCCATTCAAGCGTAGTAAAACTTAAAATTATTTTATTCAAAAGCCAATTTTCATCAATGAAATGGTTAGTAACACAAATATAACTTGTATTAAATTTGGATGTCCAAACATCCGAAGTAATTGCAACTTTAGAATTAAGATTTGATAACAAAGAAATTAAATTTTCAACTAATATAAATGGTTGTTCTGCATGTACAATATACTTAGCTAATTCTTGTTTCATTTTTCTTGTAAATATTTAAAAGTACCAAAACTATTCCCCCTCCCTATTTGTGTTTGAGTTGTTTTTCTCCCTTCATCTTCTTCCTTCTCATGTGTGAGCAGATGTCTGATCAAATGACCCATACCACCCTTTCTACAATAACTAAAGTCCTTCCCACATTTTTGGCAAACTGCCCTTTTCCCCTTTCCCTCGATATCCTCTACTTCGAAAAGTTTTCAAACCGGGCTACTCAACTTGGAGGTCCTCCTTTTTCCCCTAGTATTAGTACTGGGGGTGAAAGTTCTACTTCCATCGATATCAATCGCATAGTGCTAACACTATCATGATGCGATTGAATATCATCAAGGGTGAACATGTTGGGGAATCGGTTTTCGGAAGAACCGACCATTTTTTTAATTTTAAAAAGATAAAAATTAATCTAGTTTGACTTACCTGGATTGCCGGTTCAAAATCCCAACTTGATTTCAATAGTTGAAGCCTTTCAATGTCCAAGCCTCCCAAATTGAGATACTTGAGCTAGTTGAGCAAGCATTCTTTTTTTTTGAAAGTTGAAATTTCAAC